TCACCCCATTGCATGCATTGCTACAGAGAGTATGCCCCATTTAGATTAGGGCAAACTAAAAACTTGCAAAACCTAAGGAAATAAGCGAAGAATTAACAAAACTCACCTTTGAGCTTCTCATATTTTCCCCGTGAGATGAAACCTATTCTCACACTCTTAAAGCCTTATAACGGCAGGCACCCCAAAGCCCTGTCATGGCAGGCAACCCAAAGCCCAATACCGGCTGGCACGATTCTTTAAAGCCCTGTAACGGCAGGCACTCCAAAGCCCAGTCACGGCAGGCAACCCTAAAGCCCAGTATTAGCTGGCACGATTCCTTAAAGCCCTGTAACGGCAGGCACCCCAAAGCCCTATCACGGCAGGCACCCTAAAGCCCAGTACCGGCTGGCATGATTCTTTAAAGCCCTGTAACGGCAGGCACTCTAAAGCCCTGTCACGGCAGGCAACCCTAAAGCCCAGTATCGGCTGGCACGATTATTTAAAGCCCTGTAACGGCAGGCACTCCAAAGCCTTGTCACGGCAGGCACCTTAAAGCCCAGTACCGGCTGGCATGGTTCTTTAAAGCCCTGTAACGGCAGGCACCCCAAAGTCCTGTTACGGCAGGCACCCTAAAGCCCAGTACCGGCTGGCATGATTCTTTAAAGCCCTGTAACGGCAGGCACCCCAAAGTCTTGTTACGACAGGCACCCCGAAGCCCAGTACCGGCTGGCATGATTCTTTGAAGCCCTGTAATGACAGGCCACCCAAAACCCTGTAACGGCAGACACCTCAAAGCCCTATCAAGGCAGGCATCCCAAAGCCCAGTACCGGCTGGCATGATTCTTTAAAAGCCATGTAATGGCAGGCACCCCAAAGCCCTGTAACGGCAGGCACCCCAAAGCCTTGTCACGACAGGCATCTCAAAGCCCAGTACCGGCTGGCACAATTCTTTAAAGCCCTGTCACGGCAGGCATCCTCCTAGCCTTGTAAAAGCAGGCATCCACCAGGTCCTTTGGAACATAGGAAATTCATCTCCATTGAAGTTTTGTTTTGTTTAGTTCGTAAACCACATTTCATTTTAAACCCTTTCTTTTATTTTATTTTGTTTGGTTGTAGATACCTAAGAGTCTTGCCCCTCCAAACAAAATGCATGTTTCTCTCTTAATTCATTTCTAAGATAAGAATATCATCTCATGAAATTCTTACTTAGAAATCAAATGAAGAGGGGGCATCTAGTCAACATATATTTTGTTTGGATCGTTGTCATTTGATTATTTTCATTCACATCACATTGCTAAAACAAAAAATTTATTATTACGCTATAGTGTTTGTTATCCAACAGTCTTGCATCATTTAGTCATTCTGATCACATTACTAAAAAGAAAAAAAAATCAAAAATTCAAAATAAAATCATCATTTTACGGTGTTGTTATCCAATAGTCTTACATTGTGTTTGAATCTTTGTCAATTGATCATTTTCATTTGCATCACATCATCTCATCATATTATTAAAAAAAAATCATGTCATCGTTTTGTTAAACAATAGTCTTGCATTTAATCATATCTTGTCGTGTTAGGGGCAATTAGGTCTTTTTATAGGTATTGCATGGCCGACCAAAATACATGTTCTATCTTTACTTGTCATTTATGTAAGAATTCAAAAACACACTTTTCCATATACTTACATAAGAAACAATTAAAGAGGGGCAACTGTGAACACCGTATTTTGTCCGGACTCTTTTTTAATAATAATAATCAAAACATATAATAAATACAAAAATAAAATTTAATCCTTTTTTTTAGGATTATATTTTCAAAAAGAATTCAAAGATATTGGGAATCAATATTTGAGACTCAACTATTTTTAAATTTTTTAAATCTTTTGTTTTTCATTTAAAAATATATGTTTTAAAATTAAACTTTTCTTTCTCCCCCTTAATCTAATTAATAAAAAAAAAGGGCATTAAACAATAAAAAAAGAGAAAAAGAAGAAGAAGGAACAGATACATGCAGCATCATCAGGACACATGAAACACACGTACACACACGCATACACTCTCAGCCAGACAGCAGTAAAAGCAAAGAGACAGCAAACACGAAATGCAAAAACAGCAAAGAAATGCAGAAACAGCGAAGAAACACAGGCACAGAGGCGCAGAAACAAAAATAAGCATACACTTTCGGCCATGCAGCAGGAAAAAGGACAGAAACAGCAGAACGCACGAACACATGAGCTGCAGACGCTGAAAGAACCAGAGGCAACAGACACGAAATGCAGGAGAAGCAAAACAGAGCAGAAAGAACAGTAAACAACCAGAACACGTACGCATATACTTTCGGCTGGCAGGAGAAAAGAAACAGAACTAAGGACGCACGCATGTATGAAGGAAATGGCACAGCAGAGAAAGCAGACGGGACAGCACAGAAAATAGAGACAGAAACGTAGAAAAACAGAGCAGACTTCGGCGCACACAGAAAACGCAGTAGAAAGGAAAAGCAGAGCAGGAAAGCAATGATTCACCTCTTCCATCCCCTATATAAGACTGAATGACAAACAGAGGGAGGGACGGTTTTTTGGATTGAAAGAAAGGAAGAGAGAAACAGGCAGACAGAAGAAACAAAAACAGAGCATAAAAACGAAGGAGAAGAGAAGAGAAGAGTGACCGAGAAGGAAGGGGGAAGCAACGTAAAAAAAAATATACAGAGGAGAGAGAGGACCAGAAGATGTGAAACAGAGGCTGAGACGGAGGAGAGAGGACGTGGCGGAGGAGCTTTTCTTTTTGAAAAAGCTGAGAAGGAAACGAGGGAGGCCAGAAGCTGAATGAAAAAGGATAGAGACGGAGAGAGGTGAAACAAAGGCTGAGGGAGAAAGGCTATTCCAGCTGGAACAAAGTAGAGGAAACGAAGAAGAGGAGTGCGTTTTTTTTTGGCTGGAGAAAGGAAGGAGAAACGTACGGAAGAAACAGAAAACAGAGCACGAAAGGAAAAGAAGAGAAGAGGCGGAGAGGAGAAAGAAGAAACAGAAACGGAGAGGAGAAAGAAGAGGCTGAGACAGATCTGGACGTCCCATACGCACAGGTTCTTGCTTCTGAATCCAAAATATACGTGTTTAATTTCTGTTTACTATTCCAAAATGGATTTCATGTTTAAATATTTTGTCTCATATTTTTTCAGCTCCCAAGTGATTTCATTGCAATTGTCATATCTTTTTTTAAGAAAAGAGAGTTTGAAAAAGTAATAATAGAGAAATTGCAAATGATAATTTTTGTTTCCTATCATAGCTAAGCTAAATTTGATTATTAGGCACAATTTCATTTCAAATACAGAATTAGTGTAATTATTAGGCGAGGTCCTTAAATGTGTATATTAACATATATGAGCATTATTTTTTTTAATTCTAAGGTCCTTTACTTGTCAATAATATTGTTACACTCATACCGTATGATACTTTCTATCCACATATACAATTGTATAAAAGATTAAGAGGAGAGAATTCAATTCTCATCTAAAAAAAAATAAATGAATAAGAGAAGGTTTCTTGTATTTTATTAACTTGCCGTGTGAGATTTTAAGAATTTTCGCAGGCATTTAAAGTGATCTTATACCGTGTAAATCAATAAGATTTTGCAGGTATAGAGATCCAATTTATATGTACAATTAATAGTTTCAATGACCAACCGTTAAAACCAACTGTCTTTTTATAATCTAAATAACCCATTTAAGTTCCGTGTAAGATTACGAGAATCTTTGTAGGGACTTAAATTAATCATATTATCGTGTGGGATAATAAATCCACGCAGATATAGTGATCATCCATTTTTATAATAAATAAATAATTTTTGTAAATAATCATACAGTATACAATTTAAGAAACTTAATTAACCAAATTAATATATTTAAATTATAACCATATTTACCAATTATATCTTTTAGTCATGTGAGATTTTTGAATCTCCGTAGGCTTCTAAGATCATCGTATTATCATGTGAGTCAATAAGACTCTGCAGATATAACGATTTAGTTTTTAAAATATATATACATATATCATATATAATTAATTAAATCAATTAATTAAATTTAATTCCTGTATCGTGTGAGATTTTAGAATCTCCGTAGATATTTAGGATAATCATATTACCGTATAAGTCAATAAGACTTTGCAGGTATGATGATTAAAATTCTTCAAAACATGTATATACATACTTAAAATATATTTTTAATACTTAAAATGTACATAAGAATATAAATAAATAAATTAAATTGTCAAACTCTTCTATCATGTGAGATTTCAGAATCTTCGCAGATACTTAGAGCAATTGCATTACCGTATGAATCAATAAGGTTCTACAGGTACTGCAATTAAATTTCGAATCATAAAATATAAAGAAAAGTAATTTTAAACCCTTTCCTTTCTTTATCCCAAAAATTTAAAAATGGAGAAAATAATTAAAATTAAATTACCTTTTGCAATTTAAAACACACATATCAAAATTTCAGAAATTGTTTTATTTGCAAAATGGTGAATTATTTATAATTAATTTCTCTTCAAAAAAATATTTTTATATCAACAACTTTTAAGCCCGAACTACGTGGACTTTGATCCCCATCACAGGATACGTAGGCCTCAGAGTCAAATTCTGAGTCAAGTCCGTCCTCCCTCGTAAATAAATAAACATTTCTCACATAATTCTTATCATTTTTATCAAACACATGAATACAAGAGGGATAATTAAAATAATTATAAAACCATACTAAAAGAGCACAACAAACTTCAGGTAACTGTTCTGACGAACGGGTGTTGTGGGGTGCCTAACACCTTCCCCACACTCAACCGACTCCCGAACCTATTCTCTGATTACGTAGATCATCCTTATCCTCCATTTAATCGGTTTCCCGAGATTTACCTCAAAATCTTGGTGGCGACTCCTCGTTCGATCCAGTTCCCGCTGCGAAGGCCGGGGCCTCCGCTCGCGCGCCGTCCGCATTGCATTTTTACGGGTGCGACACTCTTCTCTTTTGATGTTCGATCTTCCTCTCCGTCTCTTTCTCTTTTTGGTGTATCTAATGTGCACCTTAGATAGGATTCAAGTAGTCTGCTCTCGTGTGGGTAATTGAATAGATTATATTATGCCCCAAATTTGGTAAGACTCTCACCCGACTCAATTTTCTGGCATATATTATTTATTTTATAATAGTCCTTCAGTACATAAAATATATGAACTTGCAATAAAGAATAACGAAAGTGTCGCGTATTGAAGAAGTAAGGTGTGGCGTAGAGCTAGCACCAAATTGGGAAAAAAAAAGGGGGGGGGTGTGGCGCAGGGAGAGCCAGGCAAGTATATATGGAGCAACGATTCTCCCATAGCTAGTGCGTGAGCTAATCTATAAGATTATGCGATTGACGTAAGATTAAAGAGAAAAATTGTGTGGTAGTGCTGAGAAGTAATATAAATCATGCAAGTTGAGTATGCAAATTGCTTCCTTCATTCAAGTTTTCCATTTAATATTTGAAGGCTACAATATATATAGATCCTGTGCTCATTTATGGCACGAATCAGTTAGTCAAAACCAAGAAAAGAATCAACAGATTTGATTATTCCTCTCAAAATGCCCTATAAATAGATGGCCATATCTCACACTGTCACACACAAAACCCAAGCTAACGTACTTAGCTTATTGTGGTCCAATACTCAATATTCCCATTACGTGGTTTCATCAGAGAGATGGGCACTAGTGAGAGGAATAAGCTTTTTTGGATGTTGCACCTTCTGGTGGCAGCAACTTGTTACATGCAAACTTGTGTTGAGGGAGAGCCCCAAGCGCCTTGTTTCTTCATCTTTGGAGACTCTCTGTCTGAGAGTGGAAATAACAACAACCTTCCGACGTTGGCCAAATATAATTACTCTCCTTATGGCATCGACTTCCCTTACGGTCCCACCGGAAGAGCCACCAACGGCCGCCACGTCCCCGACTTCCTCTGTAACATCCTTTTTCCCCCCATATCCTTCAACTATATTTCTTAGTAATATGATTCATGCATTCATGTAGTTTTGTAGAGTTTTTGGTGTCTTCGATGTGAAGACACTATTGCATACATACAGTGTTGTGAATTGCTAACGCTGAACATGTTTGGTTTCATATTGAAAATGATCAAAACCGTGACCTTAATGGAAGATATCATAGTTTGCTTGCTTCCACGTGAAACCAAAACATGTACTTATATAGTAACTTGTTTTAGGTGATTATTATTGCAGCTGAATTCATGGGGTTGCCGTTGATTCCGCCCTTTGCAAATGTACGCGGTTCAGACATTCTCAAAGGGGTTAATTATGCATCTGGTGCTGCAGGAATTCTCGTAGAGACCGGCACGAAAATGGTACTGAGTGTATATCTATATATATATATATGTATGTATTCGTTAATTCACGTTTCTTTTTCAGTTTTTCATTTGTTTGTATTTTGAAAATTTGGTGGGCGTGGAAGGTTGATGGAATTATATGAATTAATTGATTTAATTTTGATATCAGGGTGCTGATATCAGCATGTACGCACAGATAATAAATCACAAAGTCACAGTTGCAACTATTACTCCGAGATTTAAGGGTGCTGCAGCAGCCAAGAGTTACCTAAACAAGTGCTTGTACTACGTCAACATTGGCAGTAACGATTACTTAAACAATTACTTCATGCCCCAGTATTACGCATCGAGCCACATCTTTAACTTAACCCAATTTGCCGATTTTCTTATCGGTCAATATTCTCAGCAATTAAGGGTATGCATATATCCTCTATAATATTCTACGTCTATTTTTTTACCAATAGAGATACATATTATCTGGAGAATGAGAGCAAGAGAGTGATTAGTTTTATGTGTGTAATTGTGTTGGGGAAGGCATTGCATGGAGCAGGAGCGAGAAAGTTTGCGTTAGTGAGCTTGGGGCTCTTGGGTTGCGCACCGGGCGTGATTGCAGCGAATGGATCAAATGGGTGTGTGGAAGAGGTGAACAGAGCAGCCTCCATTTTCAATGAAAAGCTGAGAGTGAAGGTTAATGAGCTCAATTCTGAGTTCTTTGGTCGTGCCTCCTTTACTCTCGTCAACGCCACTGCGATCTTCTCTCTCAACCCTGACTTCCTCAGTATATATTTCTCATTCGGTTCATTTTGATTATATGATTTACAGACAATAATGAGTTAACTAATGATGAATAGAATGTTATATACGGTGCAGGATTCAAGGTTCAAAACGCTAGTTGTTGCCAAACGGTGTCGTCTACGGGGCTGTGTGTTGCGAATGGGACGCCATGCGAGAACAGGAAGGACTACGTGTTTTATGATGCCTTCCATACCACAGAGGAAGTCAATAGAATATTTGCCAAGTCAGCATATAACGCTTCAAATCCAGCTTTCGCTCAGCCTCTGGATATCAACACCTTGCTTTCTCCCTCCGCATGAACGCCACAAATGGTATCAGATTCATGCATCTTAATTAATTCCCATAAGTCATGATAACCCAAAATTTATATTATCCCACCCAATTGCTTCGGCTATATATGTATGGGTTTAATACTTCATTTAAAATAATATATGAGCAGTATTACTGTTCGTCTTCCATTTGGATTCAGTGAGTTTACACACTCAATGAGCATCCCACGTGGTACAATAGCAATGATTATGAGATATTTTATTATATGATACTTAGAAAATAGCCAAACTCAATTTTTTTGAGCATACAATGTATGTGATGAATGTTCTGACCGTATGGTCATTTTTCTTAATTTTGAGAAAAATATATTTTAATAATTTTTAAGTGTTCATGAAAAATAATTACTTTATTTGAAACACTTATAGTATAAGTGAATTTAGACCACATAGTTACTGGATTCAAATCTTTTTATACCCTATTTGCATTGCCGTATTATGGGGATTTTTGAGTGCTGCGGCAAAATTATCTTCATCAATTTTTTATTCAAAAATTAGAAATTTACTATTTAAATATTAAAATATGTTTAATATTAAGTTAGATAAAAGTAACTAACTAATTGTCTTTTCATTCTCTATTTGAAATCTAGAAATATATTTAGATCCTGTCCGGTTATTAGAAAAGAATAGAATGGAGTGTATTCATAATAAATATAATAAAACTCATTAATATATGCTGCAAATGTGAGAATCATCACACTTTTTAAAAATCTCAAGAATTATGATACCCAATCTCATGAATTAAATTACCCATTTTCTTATAAATGTACTAATCTATCTTCTTTGACTATCTTATTTTTATCTTAATTTTTTATCAATTTCATTTCATTCTTTTTTAATAAACAAATAAGGCCTTAAAAGCATGGGAGGTTCCATTTTTTTCTTTCTTTGTTTTTTTGACCAACCAAGGGTCCACTTCTTTAAAGAATGGGCCTTCGGAAACAAACAACTTAATGCAACGGATTTTTTTTTTCCTAGCAAATATTCAAGGGATTAATACCATTGAAATATAAGAGCTTCTATTCTTATATTCTAACTTTTTTTCTACTTGTAATTGGTAATCGCTTGATAACCTGTTGATTATACTTTTGTCTTTGAAGTTTAAAATTGGAAGAAAATTTAATTCTAAGTTGGAGGAATGTTAATTTGTTTTTAATTTGTGTTAATTATGTGATGATCTTGGGCTTATTGTCCAAATTCTTAATTTGAACTTATTGGGTTTATGTTAAAATATCAAAAACAAAAAAAAAATATAAATTCAATTATGTGAGAAATTAAGTTTAATAGGTTTAAAATTTAAATTTCAGCCTATTGGATGCTTACGTTAAAATATCAAATATAAAAGAAATCTATAAATCTAGTTATGTTTGAGATAGGCATTAGTGAGTTGAAATGGGGCCAACATATGAAATTTTACACTACATCGAGATGCAATTTTTTTATATTCAAATGAATATTATATTGCTCCAAGTTGAAAGAGCATTTATAAATTGTCTATCAATAAAGTAATTATATCAATAGTAAGATTTGAATTTATAACTTCATAAATTATTAATTAAATCCTCACTAATTGAATCAATTTTTATTACAACCTTAACTTGCAATTTTATCCAAGTGACAGGGATAATTGGCCGCCATCACCTAGACCCGCCATTATATACTTGTATGGGAAAAGAATTGTTAGGTCCTTGGCAGAACTCAACGAAGAGTAAGAGTGATATTTGAAAATTTAGTGCTTGCAGCGCCGATGTAATTAGGTAACAATAGGAGAAGTAATTAGATAGATTAGGTGCACCACATTATTTGTGATTTACACAATAAAAATGTGACATTTAAATGATATTAAACATATATATATATATATATTGATTTTAATATTAATAACACTAAAAGAAAGAATACAATAAATTAAATGTACATTCTATTATAAAAATAAAATTAATTTAAAAATATTATATAAAATTTTATTTAAATTATTTAAAATATTTTAATTAAATAGATAATAAATAATATGATGTATACAATCTATTTAACAATTTCTGGTAAAAACAGTGGAGCTTTAACTACTGTATTGTCTATAATTTGTAACCTAATAGGAGGTGCTCAAGAAGCTAGTAAGCACGGCGTCCATGTGCATATATGCGACGTCACTTCAAGACATGCATGCATTAAACACCAAACATCTATGTCTAGAGTTACTAATTAAGATTGGCTTGACCTTAAAAAGTTATGATTTAAATAAGTTGATTTTGTTAAGTCTAATTATATTTTAAATTTTTATTTTGATCAATCTAGCCCTAACTCTCAAAACCTCAGCCCTATATTTTTTTATTTTTTAATTTAAAAATTTAAAAAAGTATATTTAAAATCCTAAAAGGGTTATTACATATAATATTAAGTTTGAAAAATAAATTTTTGTCAATACACACAATAATAAATTTAAGTCTAATAAAAAATAATATCACAAAATTAATATCAATAATAATTAGATTTTGTTAATTTCATCAGTTAAATCTTGATATTTTTATTGTCATTCACATTAATATAATTTTATCCTTCTCATTATAGAGCCTTATCAATGGTAAAGATATTGAGCTTTTCATATATTTCCACTTCATCCTTATAAAATGAAACTAGGGTTTTAGAATTAGTATAGCATCTAATTTTTTTACTATTAAAATTTTAAAAAATTATAAAAGGGTTTTAAAGGGTCGGACCTAATTCTAAAAGGTTAGCTCTTTTATTTCAGAGCTTTAAAGTAATAGCTTGTCCTTGAATTATTTTAGGCTTAAAAGGACTATCTTGACGGGCTTGATCCTAATTGACAACTCTATTTATATCAAGAAAATATAAGGAAAAATTATATATAAGTCTTGTGAAGCTGATTTATTTGTATATAAGTCTTGCAAAATTCAAAAACTATAGTTAAGTTTCTGCAAACTTGAGTGTAATTTGAAAGTAGATGCAAAGATAATAATTCCCCTACTAAAAATACTTTACATCAATTACATAATTTATAGCCACTTCATTAATAATTTACAACTATTCTTTTAATTTTTTACAATTATATATAACTTTACATATCAAATAGTTATATTGATCATGTAGTATTAAGAAAGTCTAACACTAATTATTTACAACTACTTTATCAATAATTTACAATTATCACTTTAATATTTTATAATTATAATTTCACATACTAATGTTTAATTGAGGGAGAGGGTCTTGTCATTCTAACCTAATATGTAAGGGTTGTATTCTAATTTTAAATTACATTCAAGTTTCAATGAACTTGGTTATAGTTTTTAAATTTTACAAGATTTATTTATAGGCAAGTCTGCTCCATGAAATTTAAATATAATTTTTCCAAAATATAACAACTCCAAAAATCTTACTTAACATACTAATGAATAAGAAATAAATCAAACGCACCAAACATGCCAATCATATTTACAACATACTCTAATAATACTAATAAAACTACAGTGCAAGCTACGCATAGAAAAACCCATCCTACCTATATGTTGGGCCGGAATAATATAGGATGATATTAGATTTTTATAATAAAAAAATCAATTTTTCATAAATAGATTGAGGTGCTCCAAATTAGTTGTGTTTTAGATTTTAATTTAACCAAAATGACCTAAGTAATGATGGTCATGAACAAAAGCGCTATTAAATGAATCCAACTATCAATATGTAAAAGTTCAAAAAGACTTGTTGTGTGAAAAATTCTAATATAAGAAATAATAATTTTCTTTATTTGACAAAATGACAAATATCATAACTTTTATTTAAGGTCAATTTATAAGTAATTGACAATGATTTCTGACCTAAAATACTAATCATAATAGAAGAGGCGTGTCCTAACTTAAGATGTCACAAATCAAAAGAAAGTATAAATTTAGATTGTAATGTTACAAGAAACACTAAAGAAGGCGAGAACCTGCTTACATAACCTTGAAGAATATAGATATTGTTCTAAACCTCAACTATACTAGTCATCTTTCAAGAATCTAGGGCTTGAATAAAACAATGAGTTGCATTGAGATTAAGAAACAATGAAGGTGAAAAGTAAGATTATAAAAAAAAAAAAAATTCAAATGACAGTTAATCTGAAAAATAAACAAAATATTAGTAACATCAAAATCAAAGGAAGGATGAATGATTTCAAAATGATGAGCCTAAACAATAGAATCATCAAGTAATTGAATAGAAATAAGAGTAGATAAAGCCACCAACAAAAAATAACCACCACTAGGTTTAGGGTAGATAAAGCCTCATAAACAATTTGCAACAAGCTAAATTCAACTACAGTTTATAAATATCATCAATTCTACCAAACACATTTTTTTCCTATATAATATCATTAGTATATACAATCTAAAGTAAATGGTCTCAGTTGAACAGAAAAACACAGTCTAAATCAGCGTACTCAAAAGTCATCTAGTTCAAATAATAGGATTAAACCATTCCAGACAAATAACCTACAACAAAGGAAAATATTATATAAAGTTTTTAAATTATTAGCAATTATGATTAAAAAATAATAAAAAATCACGTAATAAGCTGGGAAAAATATATCCAAACTCACTTCTCCTTGCTCTCCTTACAGCTCAACCTGATTGCTCATTTTTTTTCAAACTATAATTAACTCAAACGTGTAGGAAACTCTATAGTTACAATAACAAATTAATCTCAAAATTTCCTAAAGCCCACCCACGACCGTTGCACTTCTCTCCTTTCCTCTTTACTGCCCTGACTTGCTTAAGAAGAACGAAAAAAAAAAGGAAATTGAATGGGAGATATGTATTGGCTGGTCCCACGCCACCCCCTTATATATATATATATATATCCCACTTAATTTTCTCCCTCCTCAAACCTCTTCAGCCAGTCCTTTCTTTTTTCCTTGAGAAAATTACATACGTTTTCATAAAAAAATTAATTATTGTGAGGTCTGTTAACAATTAATATAAAGTCATTTACAATAAAATGGGTTGCAAATGGCCTTATGTCAATTGTTAATAAATTTCGTAGTAATTAATTTTTTTATATGAGATTTATAATTCTTCCTTTTTTCTTTTCCTATTATTATTATTTATTTATTCTTATATATATATACATATCATTTTTATTTCTACTGCTACTACTGATTTCATTTTCAAAAATCTTAACTTGAAATTTTGTCCTAGTATTAAACTAAAAATATATTTTTTAATTAATTTATTTACCTTCAACTATTCTTCCTAATTTCTATTAATTCTAAAAATTTAAATTAAAATATTACATTGCGTAAGAGAGAAGGAGGGAGATGGAATATGGAAAATGACAATAAAAGAGAGGAAGATTAAGTGTGCTATTGGATAAAAAAATATTCAACGGTTTATATATAATAATATTTTTAATCTGTGTAATATAAAATGTGTGTATATTTTAAATGTTTTTGGAGTTAGAAAATTATATAGCAATTCTTTTTAAATAACTGATATATAGTTAGTGACTATATTGTAGTTATTTAAAAAAAATTATTATATAGTTTCTAAAAAAATTTAAAAACAAAAGAGATTATTATATAGTGGTTCTTTGAAATGATTGCTATATTATTTTAAGACTATATAATAGTTATTTAAAAAAATTGCTATATAATCTCTAAAAAAATTAAAAAAGAGATTATATAGCGATTATTTTAAATAACTGCAGTTATTTAAAAAGAATTGCTATATAGTTTTTTTTTAAAAAATTATAAAAAAAAAGAGAGAGATGTAGTGGTATATAGTCTAAAAAATAACCATTATATATTATCTTTTCTTGAGTCTCGTCTTAACTATAAAGCAATTTTTTCAATAACTATATATATAACTTTTTTTAAAGTAGTGAAGTATTTTGGATTTAGTTTTTTTAGAATTATTGTCATTTTTTTTTGAGAAAATGGAAACATCATAGAGTCAATTGTTTTTCATTTTATTTTGCTTGCTTTTAAAACATACTACATTTGATTATTGAAAAATAAAATTAATTTAACCAAAATCTATCCTAAATCATCGCCAATAATCACCCAAAAGTATTACTATCAGCTTATTTTTACTTTTAGAATTTTTTTAAATGAACATAATCAAATATATTTTTATTTTATTTTTTTAAAAATAATTATAGAAATTATATTATAAAATAATTTTTAAAAATAAAAAATGGAAACAAAAAACCAAACAGGCTATTAATTTCTTATGCAGTCATGCACTAAGACTAGTAGATGCAATCATCTACATGAAATGTTTCTATTGTAATATGTTCATCTAATAATCCACAAAACTATAGTTCTCTTCAAATTCATGCTTATGTAGCTGATAATTCCATGACTTATGTGCCCAAAAAAAAAACTAATATTAGCCTGTGTTAAGGAATAAGAATCAATCACTCTTATTATTCCTAATTGGTGCAGAGCCCAATTTCCTTGCTTCTTCATTTTTGGGGACTCTCTCCGACACCGGCAACAACAACCACCTCCCGCCACCGCCAAATGTAATTACTTTCCCAGTTTCCCTCCGACATTGACTTCCCCGGCAGAGCCACCGGAAAGTTCACCGATAACCTCACCCCGACTACCTCAGTAATTTTCCATCCTTCCCCCTTTGTTTCTCTATATAGCAACAATTTATTGAACATATATTTCTTCTACTGACAAAATATGTTTCTTTTGTGCATGTGCATAGCTTTATGCCTTTAAGTTGTACTCATTTCATTTCATATGTCATTTTCGAGACTTGACAATTTAGGTGATTTCAGCTAACTTTGTGGGGATCAATCCTCTGATTGCACGCTTTGCAAATACAAGTGGTTCAGACATTCTTAAAGGGGCTATTATATTCATGAACATGAAGCTTCATTTTGGTTTTTCTGGATTTTGATGTGTACGCCTATTATAATAATGGGAAATATACATTGATGAATTCCAAATCACCACCTCATTGTTGCTGCTATTACTTGCAGACTTGGTTGGTGGGAACGTTGAAGCAGCCCGGCAATACTTGGACGAGCAGTGCTTCTACCATGTGTCAATATTCAAGCCCAGTATCATCCGTATATTGATTATGATATGTTCTTATTTTTCGTCAATTTTCTCTGCAATTAACGACACACACACACACACTCTTATATAACCTTTATTTATAATATTTGTACGTTCTCTCTCTCTCTCTCTCTCTCTCTCTCTCTCTTCTTCTTCTTCTTCTTCTTCTTCTTCTTTTTTTCCTGTTTTTGTTTTGTTTTGTTTTTTTTTAATTTTTCTACATAGTATGATTTCTAAGTTTTTGGTGGGCATTAGATTTGGCTTTGCATTATTTATTAATGTTGGACTGGGAGGAGAACAGGATTGAAGACGAACGATTTTATAAATAACAAGGGGTTTTTGGGAACCATATATATCATACAAACGAAGAAATAATGGAAAGTCTTAAATTAAATATAGCCAGACAGATATATCCCCTTAGCTTCTTAGCAATAAAGATACGGTGAAGTACGGTTACAACAATTATTAATGCATGTTTAAATTAAATATTATTTAAGTATTTTAGAGAAACACACTTTAAGTTTATAAAAAGTAACAAGTCTTTTTTTTTTAAAAAAAATCAGATGATTTAAATTATATGTGTGCGTATGTATGTTCGGATTTACAAGTGTATATTAACAATTGTAAATTGGCAATTCAGAGTTGCTTCCTTAATGTCAATACCACCGCCATCAGCAACCTCAACCCTCACTTTCTGGGTTTCCATTTTTCTTCCTCCCTTCAGTTTACGTGAATGATAAAAAATAAAATACCCAACTAGTAAATTAATTCTTTTTTCTATATTTATTTATTTCATGATGGAAGGTTCAAAAGGCTGCTTGACTCCGAACGGTGTCGTTTGAGGGGCTGTGTTAGAAACGAGACGCCATGCCAAGACAGCGAACGCTACGTATTTCCTGCACTATCATCATATAACGCTTCAAATCCAGCCTTCACTTACCCTTTGGATAATCAGCCATGTCACTTTCTCACAATCTTACTCACCGTGAACGCCAATCATCGCTTCACACACACACACACACACACACACACACACAATTGTTGATGTAAATCATGAATGTTGAGCATATATACTGCAAATTGTTTGTCATTCAAGTTTTCCATTTAATATTTAAGCCTTTGCCACTTAAATTTAGATATTATTATATAATAAAATTAATAGGGGAACTTTTAATTTTCAGGCCAAAAAAAAAAAAACTTCTAATTTGGGGAAACTAAAAATCCTTTTGTGATAAAGGCTGGTTGGAGAATCTAAAGGACTTTTGGGATAGCTTTCAAGAGCTAATTTGAATTACGGTTCAAAAATTACTTTAACTTCGTAAATAACGTAATTCGGTTAATTTTCGATGGTAAAACTGATTTATATACTCTCTAAATAATTTTTATTTTTGACTGATAAACTGATTTTTTTTAAATATATCCATTGCAATAACTAATTAACATTTGTTAAAATGAATTTTGATAAATAATTTTTTGATAAACAGACTTTTTATGAACTAGAAATAGAAATAGAACACACTTAATGACATATATAGATAGATTATGGAAACATAGGCAGTTGCTACTGCTAGCCTCCCAACTTCCCCATCATTTATTTCACTTTATGGAACGTATCATCTCAATCAATTATTAATTATTCAAAACTAAGATAAGAATGCACAAAGATTTGATTCCTCTCGAACTCCTCTATAAATAGATGTGCTTATCTCACACCCAAAGCCCATCAAATCGTATTTTACTTACACTGTGTCCAATAATCAATATTTACAACGTGGTTTCATTTCATCGGAGAGATGGGCTCAAGTCAGATGAATAAGCTAGTCTGGATGTTGCATCTTCTAGTGGCTGCAACATGTTTCATGCACACTTGTGTTGAGGGTGAGCCCCAAGTGCCTTGTTTCTTCATCTTCGGGGACTCTCTGTCTGACAGTGGAAATAACAACAACCTTCCGACGTTGGCCAAATTCAATTACCTTCCCTACGGTATCGACTTCCCCTCCGGTCCCACCGGAAGACCCACCAACGGCCGCCACGCCCCGGACTTCCTCTGTAACGCCCCTTTTCTCTATATCATTCATGCCCTGCATCTATATTTTTCTTATTAACATATTTTTCTTATTAACATGCTTCCTGATTGATGTTGAGCTTTTGGCGTCTTCAATATGACCATATGACACTAATAAACATGTATATAGTGTCGTGTATGAATTTCTGACTAGTGGAGGTGATTGCAGCTGAATTTTTGGGGTTGCCGTTGATTCCACCCTTTGCAAATACCATCGGTTCAGACATTCTCAACGGGGTCAATTACGCTTCTAGTTCTGCTGGAATTCTCGTTGAGACTGGCACCAGATTGGTAATGGGCGTTCATATATATATATATATATATATATATATTCATTAATTAATAATTCGTGTTTTCTATTGTATTTTCGTTTGGTGCATGAGGTTCATTTATATATGGAATTATGAATTCATCATTGATTTAATTTTCATATTAGGGTGCTGATATCAGCCTGGGCGCACAGATACAAAATCACGGAGTCACGGTTGCTGCTATTACTAGCAGGCTTGGGAGTGTTGAAGCAGCCCAGAGTTACTTAAACAAGTGCTTATATTACGTCAATATTGGGAGCAACGATTACTTAAACAACTACTTCTTGCCCGCGTTCTACTCATCAAGCCAAATGTATAACTTAACCCAATTTGCTGACCTTCTTATCGGTCAATATTCTCAGCAATTAAGGGTATGTTCGGAGTACGTACAGAGATTTAATAATATATAACAAGTGATGAGTTGTGTATGTTTCTATGAATGTGTGATTAATTATGTGTGCGTACGTGAAGGCATTGCATGAAGCAGGAGCCAGAAAGTTGGCGTTAGTGGGTCTGGGGCTCTTGGGATGTCCTCCAGCCGTGATTGCATTGAATGCATCAAATGTGTGCCTGGAAGAGGGGAACAGAGCATCCTCCATTTTCAATGAAAAGCAGAAAGTAATGGTTGATCAGCTGAATTCAGAGTTCTCTGGGGGTGCCTCCTTCATTATGGTAAACTCAACTGCGATCTTCTCTCTGAACCCAGAGTTCCAAGGTATTCCTTTATTTTCGTTCATTTTATTTGTATAATGTGTAGTATTGCAGACAATGAAGAGCATGGTTTGGCTGTGGTACAGGATTTAAGGTTCGAGACAAGAGTTGTTGCCTAACTGTGTTGACGACGGGGCTGTGTTTAGCGAACTCGCCGCCATGCGAGAACAGGAAGGACTACGTGTTCTTCGATGGCTTCCATCCCACGGAGGCCGTGGATGCAATATTCGCCATGTCAGCATATAACGCTTCGAATACAGCATACGCTTACCCTAAGAATATCAACACTTTACTTTCTTCCTCCCCGTGAAAACCACCAACTGTCTCGCTTCTTGTACATGTCCCCAGAATAAAATGTATGAATGGGTTTGATAGTTCATCAATAATAATAATAATAATGACCAATATTATTACCATTCGGCTTCTGATTTCATTAGTCCTCGAGTCTTTATTTCATACTCTACTGCAATTTTCTTCCAATTTCCACTCAATTTTCTGAACCAAAAAATAGAAAATTCCTTATTTAATCAATTATATGTTGAGTTCGAAGCAAGAATTGTTGTTTCATTTTTATCATGTATACATATAAATATTATGCATCTGTACAAATTAAAATTTCTACTTCACGATACTCGTCATTTTTTTTCTATTATCGAATTAATTGCATGTATTCCTTACTGTACGTTGTTAAAATGGAAGCTGTAAATTTTCCGATTAAATTAATTATCCAAGTATAGAAGTTAGAAGCAAACATCTTCATGCAGTAACTCCTTGGCCCCCCATAATTTCACTGCTCCTTGATTTTTTTATTTTATTTGTAAAAAATGAAAAATTTGCTTTAGCCCCCCATATTTTAGGTGATTTTAATTTTGGCCCCCCATATATGTATTTCTAGATTCGTTACTGTCTTCATGTAAATATATAAAATAAAATATGTGATTTATTTAATTAACTGTGTGGGTAACTTTTATACATATATCAATTTTAATATTTACATGTTTAATGATGCATTTTTTTAAAGAAAATTACATGTTGTCCTCCGTTTTTTTATTAAAGGATTAAGTTTAAAATTGAAACCATGCAATATCCAGTTATATTAAAAAAATAAAATGAAAAGTAGACACTTGACTGAATGCCAAGTGTCAATCGTAGTTTGAAATACTTTGACATTGATCGAGGAAAATCTATCTAATTGACAGCTAAGATTTGTATGGGTAATGGAAGATCTGTGTTGTCCCCGGTTTACGCTTTACGGTCCTATAAAGGTCCACCACTACTTTTTATTGCGTGTATTGATATTTTGGTTGCGTGTGAAATGAAGCAAGCACCAGTCCCTCAAAGATACATTGTACCGCCGGGATCCTCTTTTGACAGCGAAGATTAGACAATAAAATGGGTTAGTAAGTGCGCCAAAATGGGAGAAATTAGAAGAAGAAAGCTTTTTAAGTTTAAGAATTAAGAAATTGATATGTGCAGTACTTGTTACTTAACTAAGATGTTTACAAGCTGCAGGAAGTTTCTCAAAGACGAGTACTTTCAGGTACTATAATTAATCTTCTAGCTTAAGAATTATACGCCTTTAGTTAAGAATTATAACAAGGTATAAATATGGTCGAAATTATCTCTCTCTGTCTCGTGGTTGACTCCTTTGTAATGTATAGAAGCGGAAGCATTAGCCTTCTGCCACAGTTCCTCATGGCTATAATACTTAATAGATCATGGTTGATGCTTATCCTCCTTCTTCATCAGCATGATTGTGGGGTTTCAGGGAAGCCTCAAGTGCCATGCATTTTCATATTTGGAGACTCTCTATCTGATAGTGGAAACAACAACCAACTCTTAACGTCTTCCAAAGCTAATTACATCCCTTATGGCATCGACTTCCCCTCTGGCCCAACTGGAAGGTTCACCAACGGTCGAACTGCTGCTGACTTCATCAGTACTATTCATTTCTATTCTTCTTCTTCTTCATTATTAATCTCCTGTTTATTTCTGTTATTAAGGCTCAAGTTGTTTAATATAAATTTGACAGCTCAACGTTTGGGGTTTGAGAACTTGATACCGCCCTTTGCAAATATCAGTGCCTCAGATATACTCAAGGGTGTGAACTATGCATCTGGCGCATCTGGAATTCGCAATGACACTGGCTCGCATCTGGTATGCTGTAGTCTTTTCTCTTTCTTTAAGGGATTCATTCTCTTGAAGCTAACATCGAACAGCTCTTTTGATTGGAGCACGCATGGTTTGATGATGAACTAATTGTTTCATTTGTGTGCACGCAAATTATTAACTTTGGCAATATGCATAAGCAGGGTGCAAAAATCAGCTTGGGGTTACAGATAGCGAATCATAGAGCCATAGCTTCTCAAATTGCCAGCAGACTCGGAGGTGATGGAAAAGGTCGCCAATACTTAAAGAAATGCTTGTACTATGTGAATATAGGAAGCAATGATTACCTTCAAAATTACTTCTTGCCCCAATGCTTCCCAACGAGCAGCATCTATAACCCTGAGCAGTTCTCTGAAGCTCTTATTCAGGAATATTCACAGCATTTAAGGGTACCCAAATATGTGCTCTTGGTCTCTGCTTCTATTTCACAAAAACTCATCTGCCTAGGCCTCGGGATTTGTATGAATCTGTTTTTGATGTGCGCAGGCTTTGTATGAACTTGGATCAAGGAAGTTTGCATTGTTTGGGCTGTTCCTTCTAGGCTGCGTTCCAAATGAACTCACAAATCATGGGGATGGGTCTTTATTATGTGTTAAGGAGGAGAATAGAGCAGTCCTCATGTTCAATGACAAGCTCAGAGGACTGGTGGATCAGCTCAATGAAGAGTTTTCTGATGCCAAATTCATCTACGTCAACAGTGCACTAATCTCATCCAAAAGCCCACTTTTAGATGGTGTAGATATATGTATTCTTTTTTATATATTTCGCTTATTATTACCATAACTATATATATATGTATGTATGTATGTATGTATGTCTGACAAGTGTTGAATACAGGTTTAAGGAGCATTGGAAAATCTGGTTGCTGCCAAGTAAGAGCAGACGGGATGTGTGATCCTAATAAATCACCATGTGCAGAGAGGAGCCTGAAGATGTTCTTTGATTCATTTCATCCAACTGAGGCTGCCAATCACTTCTTGGCAACTTTGGCATATAAATCTCTCTTTCCAATCTTCGCTTACCCAATGGACATCAGTCATCTCGTTCGCTTGTAAACCCTTATTACCAACACTGTACACTCACACACATGTATGTCATTTGCATTGATATCAGTCTTACCATGTTACTGTGTAATCATATTATTGAGCTTTGGGGTTTTGTATTTTCTGTGTTCATTATGATCTTCATGGTTAGTGTTTATATTGTTATATATATACAATCACAAGTTGTAGATAGAATGGACATGCAGGCTTATATCGTACAGAGGAAACGTGGAAATAACGGATGACACACAAGGAATCACAGGTGTCTTTTTGTGACCCTTTAATAGTAGGTAAACATGGACAGAACGGAGCCTTTCACAATGTTAAATAGTTTAAGGGAAAGTATATATAAAAAGCTACTACATATATATATATATATATATGGAGAGAACTTGTACCGACGAAATCCCCTCTTCCTAGTTATGCTTAAGTCACCTTCAGCATTAAACTCCAAAATACAACTGCAGAAGAAGAAATTCAAGTCTTGCTTGCCCATTCTCATCAACTGCACAGAGTATTCAGACCACTTTTCAGGCTAATTGGTGTGCTGGAATATAAACATGCATAGATACATGCTCATACAATGTGAGCCGCTTGCGGCTTGTCAACTTTTTAATGCCGACAAACATTAACTAATAATAAACAGGATGCCTTAAAGTGACTCCACCTAAAGTAAAATGAAAGATAGATACTATGTCTCATTTTAATGAGATACTTCCTCGGGTATTATTTGTAGGGTATTTTTTAAAAGTAATTTTTTATTCAAGATGTAAAACACATTGTAATAATTAAATTATTTTTTTTAATTTTAATATTTTTTGATTGGTATCAAAATATTTAATATAGTTATATCGTTATTTACAACTAAAGATACAATAAAAGTACAAATCATTTTTTTATGATATTAAAAAAAAATATTTTTTAAGATGTGTGAAATGATTAAAAATGTCCTACAATAAAAATTATAGGGAGTGTATTAGGCAATGTTCACTATTTTGCATTTATTTCTTCTTTTGTTTTAGGAATCTTTATAACTCTCACATGTCAGAATCCATGCTTACTGTTTAATAACTTTATTTTTATAAAAAAAACAAGTTTTTTTAACAACTTCGGTCAACATTCAAACTATTTTTTTAACTTCATTTGCAAATGATTGAATATGAATAAAGGACATAAAGACTTTAATGCAGTTTAGTGTCATGTTCTACTTCTTTTGTCTTAAATTACAAAATATTTTTAGATAAAATTTTACTTATAAAAAAAATGGACTTTGGTTGTATTTAAAATTTTAATTTCATGATATTTATTAAATGCTATAAAATCTAATGCTATAATAGGTATCATATAGCGTTTTATTAATTATTAAATGCTACAACATTTGTGATAGAGTGAGGGTGTTTCCTTTCGCAAATGCCACCTCTTTGAATTTATTTTTTTTTTTTAAATTTAAGAGAGGTGACATTTACTCTATATTAAAAAGCCAACTCTTAAAATGTTACTTTTGTCCTCAACAGAGGCGGCGTTTTCAATAAAAACAAATTTCAACTTTACAACAAAATTTTAAAAAATTAAAAATCTTGCAGAGGTGGCATTTCTAAAATCTATAAACGCTACCTCTGTAATTTTATTTTTTGAGGTGGCGTTTCATTCACCTAGAAATGTCACCTCTTTGGTACCTTTTCTTTTTTTTTTAATAAAATTGACTTAGATGGTGTTTCTTTTATGAAAAAATGCCACATAATGTAAAAATATTAAAGAGAGATAATATATGAGAAAAATAATATTAAAAAAGTATCATTAATAAAACTTTATATTTATTAAAGTGTTTTATATTTTGAAATGATAAATCTTTCCTAAAAGTATCTTATAATTTGGAATAGAGAAAATATTCTTTTTTTTTAGTTTTTCATTAATTGATTAATTGTCACTCTTCCATTTTTTTGTTGGTTTTACAAGCCATAATTATTCATGAACCACGCACCCATTGAAAACAAATCATTCCACCTACCTAAGGAAAACAAAACTTAGCCACATACGGCTAGTTCACGTGGCAAGGTTGGAGTGTGATTTAGGTAGATGTCAAGGGTTTAAACCCTTGATATGTACAAAAATAAAAATTAGGAACATACACAAATTTCTTTCCTTAATTAGATCAACTTAGTTAGGTTTGAATTGTTTGCATATAGAAAAAGTAGACTTCATGTGTGTGTGTGTGTGTGTGTGTGTGTGTGTGTAAAAGAAGTAATCAAGAAAACATACACCAATTGAAGGGCCATGTGATCCTGGCGTGGATGCTGATGATCGGGTTGTAACGCAGTGACTTGGAAGTAACCTCGATTGTCAAATTGCTGCTGAGATTGCATACATTCATAGTCGGACCCTCCTGCTCCCATTACATTCATGTCTTGCTGCTGGTTCCCCTCACTTTCAGCTATCTAACCCCATCAACAAATAAATGAATATAAATAATATATATGACAGTTATTACAAGTTTATATGCCAAGTCCAATTATTAATAGCAGGGAACACAGGAGGAGTATATGTATGTGAAGAGAGGTGATGACAGACCTTAGCTCGAAGAATCTGGTTGTTGTTATGCAAGTCTATTTCCTGCATTATTGTACACTTTAGTTATATTCCTTTTTTTTCTTTTTTTGGTTTTTTAGTTGGGAAAAAGTAGTTGTCTAATTCTTCGAAAGTAAATGAAATAAACAACGATATAGTCAATATGTGAGTGTTATAGTGGTCTGACTAACAGTATTCTTCGATGGGGATCAATTGGAGGAGAAAAATTAGAGCCAGGATGAAAAGGTTTCATCATATGCATAACCTACTTAGCTTCTTTGATGGAATTAGGGTTTAATTTGTATTACATTTATTTTGAATATGAATTTTGACCATCCAATAAATCAAGGGAGGGAAACTCGTCTTTCAACCTATCACTCCTTTCTCTTTTTGGTTCTTCTTTCTTTTCCTTTTTTCTTCGCAAAGCTTAATGTATCATCCTAGCTAGCCCAGCTAAGCATGTATAGCACAAACTTGACATAAGTTTTTGTACTCAAGTTCGTGAAGAAGTTATCATCCCAGCTATGCTCTCCTAGCTAGCTCTGCCATTTACGTATATACGGTTAAAGTCATACTCTTCCGTTCATTTATCAACATAGAAGTCATAATTAAGTTATAATTACTCTACCATATCTATGTGTGTGTCTCAAATAAACCTCGCAGTATCATTTTTAGCTAATGTGAAATCCACAGACAAACTATATGGAAATCTACGCTCTACTTGCCCATGACACAAACAGTACGTACATAAGACCCAAAAATCTTACACACACACACACACACACACACACACACACACACACAAACGGGTATATATCATTGTCCGTGCACTGTGTGACTGTGTGTATATTATTTATGAATGGAATCGATTTCAAAATCATTTCAGCACAGCTTTCAGTCCAAATGTTTGAGTTTCGACGTTAATATTTTGTAAAAGGCAATGGCAACTGTATTATTAGGTGTTATTTTGTTCTCGATGTGATTAGTTTCTTTTTGTAGATTTCTGTTTTACATAACCTGATGGTATGACCATTAAATTAATCATAACAATAATAAAAATCTTTATGGATGAATTTAAAATTTTGATTTTTTTTGAGAACTATGTATTTTTTCAGGTAATGAAACTGAGAATAAGATTTTAATTTTGACATCAAGTACTTGACTAAAATAATGAAACTAGCTTGGTCTTATTTGATATGCATAAAAAGATTTTTAAGAAAAGGAGAATGAGAGAGAACTTAATCTTAAGGCCGTGATAGGATGGAATCATTTTTTAAAGAAAATGAAAGGGAGAGGATGAGGGACAGCTTCCATGGAAAAACTGTTTTTGGGCTAAAAATGTGACTGGTAGCTAAGAAGAAATCAAGAATTGCCCCAATTGAAAGCTTAGTGTTAAATAGTTAAATACCCCTTGCAAAGATATCCAATTTGAGTTTTCAAATACAGGTTAACATGTGCATCGACACTATTTCAATATAAAATATAACGACGCTAATCTTTTTAAGAGAAATGACACTTAATAAATATTATAAAAATTAATAAATAATCATTAAAACTATTATTTATATTTATAATTTTATCAATAGTATTTTTTGCGTCATCACGGAGCTCTTCCATTTGAGGGAAAGCCCACAAGTGGAGGAATCCCACTCCCTTTATTTGAGATAGGTTCTAATTCCTTAGAAACTAAACGATGTGTACCAAAAGTGTCTAAAATTCTTACAAATATCTCTAATATATTGGATCTGATCTTCAGTGTATCCAAACTACGTCTCAATTCTGAAACAGAATTTTCTACATGAAACCATTTTCTAAAGCAGAAAAAGAAAAAAAAGTTTCAAATTAAACTATATTAGCTCAATGCTTGCATTTGCCAGACTTGAGGGAAACCACAAATCATCAATTCAGAACCACTTAAATGGAAATCTATAAAAGGTCAAACAGAAGACAATCTCGCACCCGCTAAATGGTATATATCATTAACCTTTTAAAACCACATTGACTCAACATGCTAACAGAAACATATGAATGCTAAAATATTAACTGAAAAATTTTAAGAAAAAAGAATGAATCATGGGGAAGTATTTTACCCTCTTCTGCATGTATTCAATTTCTGCAAATAGAAGCTCATTCTGGCATGGATAACAAGAAAGTGGGACAAGGTAACAAAGGAAAACTAGTCAGTCAAATGCAAGAGCCATCAGAAAATTAATGACCAAATCTCTATTCCTTTTTTTTAGAATTAACTAATGCAAAGCATTTTTTTAATCACCTTTTTGGAACGGATTCTGCTGATCCCTCTTTCTAACCTACCCTCCAGGTTTTTGAGATCCTTGGAGTTTAGATTGCCTAAACCCTCTCCCATCATTTGCCTACAAATTTAATGATGATTCAAATAGCTGGGATATATATACTGAAAAAAAATACTACTCAATATTTCCAAAAACTATAAATAAAAGTATAAGAATATTTCCTACCCATTTCTTAATTCCTTTTTTTGAATTATCTGGGTATTGAGATTAATTCAAATTAATTACCTGTTGTGATTTTGCAGGTTACTGATTTGGGCACGCAGTTTGGCAGATTCTTGTTGGTAGTACTGAGATTAATATGAATGTAGTTATAGCTAAAGTGTTAGTCCCTTGAAATGAATGATAATGTTTAAATTGATGTATTAAATATATCTCATAGGTGAAGAAAGAAAAAGAAAAATATAATATAAGTACCTGAGCATTAACCTCAAAAGTAGATCCACTAGTAGAATCTGAACAAGCTTTCCAGTACCTCTCAATAGTTGCTTTAACACTACACAAATTAAAGAAAATGTCCAAATTAGTTGTAGGGTACACATGACCATTTGATCGAATGGACCTTATACGGGACTTAGAATTAAACCTTAGACACTACTAGGCTACCTTAGCCTAAATTAATGGGCTGGTATTAGGGTTTTGTGTCTATGTCATCTGCTATGACGAATAGCATATGTGCGACGATGGACGCATCAAGATTTTAAATTCTAAACTCAATAAACATATAGAAAATAGAGAGATTGAGAGAGAGTTCAAGAGAGGGACGAAGGGGCTCTACTAGGGCTTTATCTTGGCATATGTTTAGAGTGCTTTAGGGCTTTCAATTGTTTGAGTAAGTCTCTTTGCTCCTTTTTACTCCTCTCTAGTTTGTTTCCTTGAAGTCTTGGGACTATTAATATAGTAGTCTGAAAATGGGAGTTGATTTCACCTAGTTTTTGACTTCCTTTGGGTTAATGGTTGTTGATTTATGTAATAACCCAATAATTTTTGGTAAAAATAAATCTTATTATAACTAAGGTATTTTGGTTGAATTTTTATTAATTCTAGAGTGTGTATATATATATATATATATCTCAAGATGGAACGTTAGCCTAGTGGAAATGGTGCTAACACTTATGCATCAAGTCCTATGTTCAAATCCTACAAAGGGAAGAGAGGAGCTTTATTTTTTTATTTTATCTTTAGTGAAATTATCATTATGCCCTTGTCACAATTAGATTTTCCCCCTCCCCTAATTTAATTTGCATTCTACATTTAGTTAAGAGAGTGAGAGAGGTATCATCTAGAAGCCTTGCCTATTCTTTAATCTTTGATCTCTTCACCATTTAGTTTTGCTACTATCACCGACGTGGGTGGGCACTGTTGCTATTTTGCATAACTCGACCCTTTCTTCCTCTTGTATTTTATGCCTTTAGAGGTCACCGTTGACTTTGCCTTTTGCCTCTCATTGTGTCACTATCGAATCTCCCCTTTTCCATTTCCCTTTCCCTTCCTTCTTCTTCTTCTTCTTCTTTAAGTTGATGCTTGCTTTTGAGAGATAGAGGAGCTAAAACATTTCCCTTTATTTCTATCGTTACCTGGGTCTATGATTAGGATAAGTGTAACATCTTGGACTTTAACTTTGGCAATTGCCACTATTTATAAGGGTATTTTAGTCAAATTAAGTGGATTTTTGGTTAATAATGTTTTAAGGAGATTGTAGCTAATGGATCTTTGGATAGCCTTAAAAGAGGGCTAAATTAAAGTTTGAGCGGGCTATAGCATGGAGAGAGATTCAAAACAAGTATGGAGTTCTCTGTGTCATGCATCGCGGTGCATGTATAAATTTTTGCATTTATTAGATCATGAAATTAGATAAAAAATGAGAAATAGGATAGAGAGGATGCGAAGAGATGATGAGAGATGATGGGTGGGCACTAAGGCTCAACTATTGAACCATATTGGAAGCATTTGGAACAAGATTTAGTTTTGGGTAAGCTTCTTTCACTTCTCCCTCTCCCTTTATACGAGTTTTTTTGATGAGTTAGGTATTTTAGGGTTTTGATTTCATGTTTTCTTAGGTAATGGCTAAATCCATTGCTTTGTTTAAGGTCTTGAGGAGTTAAATTAAGCCTTTAAACCTATATTTATGGATTTTATAAAGATTTGGAGTTGTTGGTTAGGGTTTGGACAAACCCTATATAGACATTAGATGATTAAAAGCAATGTGGGTAAAGTAATGATGTTGTTTATATGTTGGGATGTTAAATAGAGTTAATGTAGTGTGTTAGAAGGATTGTTGAGGTTAAATTGAGGTTTTCAGCAAAATGGGTACCCCTAGTTGTACTATTAAATGGGGTGATTAGTGAGAAAATTTGACAATTAACGATTTAATTATGTAGATTAACCTTGGATTGAGCATTGTAGTGCTAGTAGACACATGTGGAGCCATTGATAGACTACGGTAACCCTTTTAATGAGAAAATGATTGAGGTAATTAGATTGTCTAATCTCCCTTTTTGTGTGTTTGGATAGTAATGTGTAGTTTTAAAAGTAACATTTTGGTTTGATAATAGTCTAGTAATAATATGAAATTATGATTTTGAAGTGATGTGAAGTGGAATGAAAAGTTGTTTTAAAGTTTTAGTATTTGGAAAGCTAAATGCTCTTTTATGTATAATTACTTGCAAAATTCTATGGTTTAAGCGAAAATGAGAAATTGTGATAAATGATATGTTATAGATATGTGTTAGATGCATTAAGTATATTTGGCATGATCATTGTGAGAGGTGAGAGTTCATCCTAGTGTTTTGTTGGGATATTGTTTGGAAATTCATATGGTACACTAACACCATAGAGGCCTCGGTGCTCAGTATTATATTGTTTAGAAGTCTTAGTACTATAAATGATAGATTGGGCATCAATACCCTTAGTAATTGTAGATAGGGAGAATCTATGGTCCATAATGGGTGAAGGCACTCTTGGCCGGGGTGCCTTCTACTAATGGTAAGCTTGGGGAAGTCTAGTCACATGAATTTGGTCCTATCAAATTGTTAGCCTACAAATTCAATTGGAAGATATAAGGAGGGTATAAGGTAGTGTGTTGATCATGCATATCATTCTATAATCATATGTGTGGATTTATGAGACATATTATATGATTTACTATGCCACTTCACATACGTATAAACTATTCTCACATATGAGTAGTTGATTAAACTATTTGGTTACTGAGTTCTGGACTCACCTCATAGCTATATTTTATAGGTGAAAACTCTAATAAGGGTAAGGAAAAGGAAGGTATAGCCGAGCATCAAAGGGACTAGCTCTTAGTTGTATAGTCATTTCACTTATTTTGGGTTTGTAATGAATATTATATGCATATACCAACTTAAGACATATATATAGTTTTAAGATGCACTTGCATGATTTCTGTTGTGACTGTGGGTATCTTGGCTTAGGTTCTGTGTATCTATATTGTAATAGTTATAGGAGGTTGAGATACTATTACAAGTGTTAGTTTTGTATTGGTTTATATGTTTGATTAGCTATTGGATTGTTTATAAGAAATTGTTACCCCTTGTAAAATTTATGTTAAAAATGGGGTTTTAGTGGCCAATTCTTATCTGGACTATTGTGATTATGATTTAAATGTTTGAATAGGTTGTTCATAGTCTATTTGAGTTGGGTCAAATAGTTTCACGGCTATGGGCATTTGGTTTAGGAGTTTGGGGCACCTTGGTAGTGTTTTTGAAAAAAAATGAGCCATTTGGGTTCGGGTGTCTAAATCTCATTTGACTTAATGTTTAAGTGTGGAACCAATGCCAATAGCTAGATGGCTCTAAGAGCTACATATGGATGCTTGATTCGCTTGAATTGGACATCGGATGGTAAAATGGCATGCTCCAAAAGTTAGTTCAAAAAGCTATCATGATAATAATTTGTTGTCATGACAGTGATCGTACTGCGGCACGAGGCACAGAGAGAGCGTGTTTCCTTCTGTGCAATCCACCACGGAGCACTATACCTATATTGCTTATTTTATGGCAGGATTGATTTCTTAGGCTTTTGTTGTCTTATTTACTTGGTTTTAAACTATAGTTTAAGCTCAAATGATCTTGTAAACAGGATTTTCTTGGGATCTCATTTTGCTTAAATGTTTTTAACCCTTAGGTTATAATAACCATTTATGGGATTAATCTTGGTTATCATAATGTTGTTCTATGTTTGGTGTTCTATGTGCTTAGTAATGTTAGAGATGACGTTACAATAAGTGTTCGTGTTCTTCGTCCTTCTTGTTTGTATGTTCAAAACCTCCTCCTTCTTGCTTCTATCATTGTTAAGGTAAGAATCTTAGAGTCTCTTCTCTATTGCTATTTTCACGGGTGTATTTGGTGTTGAAGAATGGAATTTTCTTTCCTTGTTAATTATTGTTTGTGATTTTGGTTAGAGGGGATTTAAGTAAAACTGAAATTTAAAGTTTAAGAAAACATTCCACCAAGTAATTTTTGATATAGTTGATTTGTGTTGCTATCAGTGGGGATGAATACAGATGTGGTTTTCCTTTGAGGTTAAAACCAAATTTTTTCTATGCAAAAGGATGAAATTTGAGAATCCTGATTAATCTAAATATTGTTATTGGAAAATTTTGAAAAAATAATAGTAATAGTAATAATATTGAGGAGGAAGAAGCTTGGTATTGGTTTGAACTTTGATGCATGCAAGATGTTTGATAAAATACTTGATAGGAAGATCTTTAGTATATATAGGGAAATATATGTGATAATTGTATTTTTGATAATTAAGTTGTTATAGAAGGTTATTATTGTCTATAAGGAAGCTGGAATTGAAAAAAGAGAATTTTGAAGGGATTTTTATTGGTAACTTAAGTACCAAAATATGTATTGGTCTCTAATATATATAATATATATGGAATATTTGATGCAACATTTGAGGTATGTTGGAGCTAAGATTTATCCATTCTACTCTATGCTTATTTGGACTGTAGATTTTGAATTGTAAATTGTGATATATGCATACATCTTTGAATCAAACTTAGATACATGTGCTTGAGAAGAATTGGAAAGACAGATTGTTATGAATAAAGTTCTATGTAGAGAGGGGGGGAGAGAGAGAGTGTGTGTGTGTGTACACACAATTGAAGGATTAAAGATATAAATTGAATTGATTTAAGAACTTAGTTCATTATAGTGTTGTTAATATTGGTATAGAGATTATTAAACTTGAATAAATGCCAATAAATTTTCTTTTCATTGGTTAGGGTATTTAGAGGAAGAAAATATGATTAAAGCTCTAAAGGGTAAATTTTAGGTTTGGAGAACACTATAAGTAAGTGAATAGCATTCTAACTAATTTATCAATAAAATTCTCTTGTGAATTTTTTTTAACATAGAACATTTAATAACAATTATATTATGTATTTAATCCTTTATTAAATTATTTCTATCTTGGGAAATTATAAAGAGATGATGGAAGGTATTTGGATAATGGCATGTG